TCTAAAATTTAGGAAAAATTTGTACAAAGGAGAAAAAAACAATTCTCGTTTGCCTTTATTTAAATTTAAAAGTCATCAATATTTACTTTATTTCCATATTCTTTTGTGTAGTTTCTCAAAGAATTTTCATTCTTTATTAATAAAATAATAAGTCAAAATTTCAAAAGTACCACAAAATTGATTAATTACAAGTCTTACGTTACTTGACGTTACTACCATATTTTTGTTTTGGTCACAAACTACCATATGGAAACGTTCTGAATTTTGGTCAACCAAACAAATTTAGGATCGAAAGGTTTAGACCAAAAAATAAAATCTAGGAAGGGTTATCACTTAAATCATTTTAATTAGGACCTTTCCTTTTTTGTTTTTATCAATAATTAGGACCTTTCATATTTTTTCGTCGTAATTAGGACCTTTCCTAACGTAAACTTTTGTGTAAATCTTCATAACCTTTTTTTGCTACCATAAACTTTTAGTAACCATATAGTTTTAAATTCTTTTGAACATAGTGTAATTTTGGAGAATAAACAAAAATGTGGTATTTTTTTGAAATTGTCCTGAAATCATATAATTAAGTTTTAGACATATGAGGTCCTTAAATGAAAATAATGAACTATTGACCTCTCCAATCGTTTTATTCAAAATTTGACGTCAAATATCAAATCAATGTCACGACTAAAACATTTTTTTTAATAATAATGTCATATATTGAAATCTAGACCTAGATTATCACCTTACTAAAAAATTATCCTTGTTAACCAATCGTAAATCTGTTCCGTCATCTAGCTTTTGTTCTCCATGAATTCACACCTATTAGAATTGAGGTGCAATTGACGTTTAATATAATAAATATCTTATTATATATCTTAGTATATATAATTCACATCTAGTTAAATATAATTTGTCTTAGTATATTCTATATACATTTGACGTTTAATATAATAAATATCTTATTGATATCATTTACATACTTTCATTGGATATTTGGCGGATTCACGGATAGTGCTATTAGATATAACTAGATTCATACCCACGCGTTGCGTGGAATTTTAATTTTAAACGGCTAACAATACAAATAATTATATGTAAATATATTTATTTTAACTTTAAATGATAATTTTATATACATAAATTTTATCAAGCAATATACACTATAAATATTGGTGAGAATAATTTTTTTTCATTGAAAATAAACGAATTGTGAACCTCACCAGGAAAACTGATTTCACTGACATTCTCACGACACTTTATCTTGGAGTTACACTAAAAAAATTAGAAATTCATTCTGAAATTTGAAATAAATATAATATTTTCTGTTGAATCTTAAAAAAAAATTTATGAGTACCAATCAAATCTATCATATTCTTGTATTTTCTATATTATTAAAATTATTATTTTTTTCTATACAATTACACTCATTTTCTTAAAAAAACAAATTAAGTGAGTTTGTGTATCTTTCGATCAAATTTTGTCATTGTTCATCTAAGTATTCATAATTAAATCCATATTTAAGTGAATTTGTGTATCTTTTGATCAAATTAATGTAATTACTTTTATTGGTACATTATTTGAGTTATTAATTTCTATCAAGTTCATTATAATTTTATCTCATACTTCATATATTAATATTAATGACACTATCTTTTAAGGTTTATTTATTTTACTTAATTTCTTGTGTTTTATATTATCTAAATTGATCGAGAGTTATACATTGAAACTACAATTAATATGAATAAATATAAATTAAATGATTATTGGAAATAGCTTTTAATATAAAATTATTTGTTTTGCTGATGTGGACACTCTAAGATGAAAGAAAACTCTCTAATTATATAATAAATGGCACACAATGTTCATAATATCGGTTGTCTATTTATATTCATTACATACTTGTGAGTATAGTCAGCACGTAATAGTCTAGATATAATTAGTGTGCAATATCCCTATCTTTTATATATAGGATTAGTAGTAAAATATTTTAAATTTCCATCGTATGACTCTTAAATATAATTGGAGTTAAATAGCCCTTAGATATAATTGGCACGAAATACTTGAAATATAAATTATTGATATCATTTACATATTTGTTAAATATTCGTTATATACACAATTGACGCAAAATGTTTTAACTGTCAGTTATTATTATTTTTTTACAACAGTTAGTCAATTACTTATTGATGTACTTGACATATTTTCTTAGATTATAAGTAATGTGCAAGTCTTTAAATATATAATTGGCGTGCAATATTTAAATATTTCCGTAAGTTAGTTAATTTTTTCGCGCGCTTTGGTAAGTAAGTAATTTAGTTGTTTATCTAAAATATATAGAAATGAATCTTTGAATTTTATACAATAAACAAACATAAAATTAATTGACTTACTGAAAAAGAGTACAAAAGACAAAAAAAAAAAGTGATTTATTTTTCTTTATTCGGAGAGAGTTTATATTAATCGAAAACAAAAGCTGAGGTTGGGTTTGATTTTTTGTTTCTTTTTCAATTCCATTTTGAGAGTTTAGTTTGTGTATTGATAAGATTCATTATGGTTATGGGGTCAGAGAGTAACAATGTTGACAAATGCAAACAAGTCGCATACGAAGTCAACGTCAATTCTCCTGATGATAATGGAAATGAGACTGCCTCTAATTGTTCGATCTGTCTTGAACCCTTGGTCGATAAGGATGAAAATCGTACCCCTGTTACACTTCGTTGTTGCCATCAATTCCATCTTGGTAATTTAAAAAAAAAATTGTGTGTGAACAAACACCGAGTTATTTTTATTTTTATTTCATTTAAACGGGATCTCTGATTTTGTTGACTTGATCGTGTTGATTTGAATAATATTGACATACATCTGATTTCCATTCGTTTGCAGAAATGTGGCTCCTTAATTCCTCACAAGTCTTGTACTTTTATTTATTTATTTGTGTGTGTTTTGTAGCCTTTTTTTGTTGTTGTTTTGTTAAAAGGTATGCAATGCAATTTGTAGCCTTTTGTTGGGAAAAATATTATCTATTTCATCCTTTGAGAGAATTGTTATAGGATTTTTGATCATTTTGGGCCAAATTACTAGTCAATAATCTACATGTAGAATTTTGATTTTAGTTTTGGTTGAACTCTCGCTCTTTCCACCTTATATGACATGATTTACG